CTTGTTGAACTTCAGAAATATGCCACGAATCTTGTGCCGAAGTGTGTCGGGATCCGCACTTGTTAAACTTCATAAACGAATAACGACAGGCACGCGCATCAGGGAACCCTGTGCGGAAGTGTGCCGGGATCCGTACTCGTTAAACTTCAATTCCATAATTGTGACGAGCAATGTGTCATGATTGCATCCTCGTTGGATAATTATATTAGAAGACGTAGAGTAGCGAAAGGCACGCCCATCCGGGATGCCTGTGCGATAGTGTGTCGGGAGCCACACTTGTCAAACTTCAAGTTTGTGAATGTGATGAGCAAGTTATCATGATTAAATCCTTGTTGGATAATACTATTCATTTCGTTTATGCGTGAGTTGTACATTCATGACTATCGTCTCGTCTGAGGCGGTTGTCAGGATGTTGTAGAGATTCAGACTTCTTTAGAAGTACAAACAGTAACTGTTATTTTTGACATATAATTTATTTTTCCCGGTCAAGAATGCAAAATTGTCGGTCACATGTAATTCAGGCGGTCACAAGTACATGATTGTCTATGCACACAAGAGACGTGATGTCACTGGTCTTTCACTCTTTGCATAACGAACCTCACACCCACACACTCGCCGAGATTTGTCTTGCATCCACACTCCAATTCGTCATGTCGCACCACACACACGAATACCATTTCGAGGTGAATTATATGCACAACCTTTGATGACCTGGACACAATTTGCAACGAGGACTGCAATGCGATAAATGTAATGACACGACAGACGAGCCGGACCTGACAGAGATTCCGAAGGCAATACTCGACACCAAACTGGCAGTCAACATGCCAAAGACAACTCAAACCCGCAACACTGAAAGAAAGTAATGTCGTTGTGAAAACGACACTTAAAATATGAAATATTATGAAACAAAAGTTTGCAAATCAATCGAATCCATCAAAGACAATGACATTCCAAGACACATGATGCCAGTTGTCGTCTAATATACGGAATATTTTTACAAGAGAACCTGAAAGGCGGTCGATCGCCACATTGCAACAGTGTCGCAAACATTAACATAAATACCCCGCAACTAACTCCATCCACTTGTCTTGGAACTCCCTCTATAACAACATTTGCTGCCACCGACTTCCAGCGCCTACACGAGCGCCTATGTGATGTTTCACATTCCAAATAGTGTACGATCAACTCAAAAACACTAAGGTAAAAACTAGAATTGACTACAACGCAAGGAAAAGAATCGAAAATCTCAAGAACATTATCTCTCAAGCTCACGGAAAGGAGAATCCAGTGATCATTATCTTTGAGGACTGGAACAAAGATAATATCATATTCAAGCAGATCCACGTTTTTAGCCCATCTTTCCACCCCGCCGTGCCCTTGAAGTTGCAGTTTACTGAAGAAGAAAGAATTAAAGGTGAAGACTCGAAGGTCTGGCGGGATGTCACTTGTCCCATATGCGGTCGTTCCTAATAGCGCCATATAGAAGTTGACCACCTCATCATTCACCCTGCCGTCGGTAAGTGAGAGGGTGAGAATATCCTTCGCTGCAATTCGCAACTGACCATCGTGGAGGGTCGAGAGTACAGTGTCAGGTGGCACCAAGCGTCATTCAATGTTGTCCAAAACCCGCAAGCTTCCGATCGCAGTCACTGTTGTTCCAGGTGCCGTGGCCCGCACTGCACAACATCGAGCGAAGGACAGGGGGGGAAGTAAGAAACGGAACACTAAGGATTCTCCTTCATCGCACGACGAGAAGCTAAGTATTTCTCATACATGGCCTGACCCCTAGTCACAAATCGTGGATGTGTCCCTTTCTCTGGGGGCAAAAGGGAAAGACACTCCTTAATGGTAATGGCATGCTCCTTCTTCCCGATTTCGACATCAACCCCTGACGCCTTTAACATGTCCTTGTGTTTTGTCGTCAACCCCGGGACTGTATGCAGTATGTGTTCCGGTCCGGGATATTTAGAGGGTCTCTGTGTTTGAGACGACCCTTCCCCCTGTACAACAGAAGAAAGACAAAACGGAAAGTGAATACACGTTTCCGAAGAAGAACCCGACGAAACGACAATTAGACCACGAAATCTAAAAGACGCAGGACCCATGCAATTACAGAACCTCGTCATGCCATGAGAGTGCGAGAGAGAGAGAACTTCCGCACGAGCCACGTTGCTAAATAAAACGAGCAGTGCACTCGAGCTCAACACCCCCGCCCTTCAGAAGGGAAAAGCACATCAAGTCACAGAAGCGGAAGGCAAACATCTCTGAAGTCCGGATCCCGGCGGACTTTTCCAACCCAGGGAGATGACCCAACCCCTGTGCAACCGAAGGAAGAGAAAATGGAAAATGAACTCACGTAATCCAAGACGAACCCGACGAAAACGACAACTCAAGAACCACGAAATGTAGAAGACGCAGGACCTATCTATTTACAGAGCCCCGTTTAGCCATGAGAGAGATAGAGAATACTTCCGCGCAAGCCCCGCTGGAAAACAAAAAGAGCAATGCGTTCGACCTCGACACCCCCGCCCTTCAGAAGGGAAAACCTCAACAAGCCACAAACCCGGAGGCCAAACATTCGTGAAGTCAGGATCCCGACGGACTTTTCCCAATCGAGGCACCAGAAGAGTAACCGCGTTACGCAGCGGCCTTGGCAGTGCGGATCCCGGCGGACTATCATTCCGAAAGAGAAACACCATCCTTCCATTATGTGAGGGAACGCTTCAACAAAAACACACATGTTTTTGTCTCGTGCGCATTGACAGACACTGCGGTCACCGGCACGCAGACAGAGTGGCGTTTGTCACTGCTTACCAGCTGGTTTGTCTCTCCGCTCCTTAATCGGCGAAGTTGGTGCGGGCAAGGCCAGCACGTCAAGAGCTCGAGTGTCGGCGATAGTTTTTTTCGGGGATGTGACATCTTGTCATCCCCCGATCCCGCGTTCTCCTCTGCTGGCGATGGTTGGCGGCAGCATCGGAGAGCTCGTCGGCGAGAAATCGGCGACAGATCCCCCGGAAGGTTTGACGTCGAGAGGGTCGTCGACACCAGGCATCGAGGACGGCTGCGCGGACATTTGGTGGTCACCCAGGATGCCGTCGATAACTTCTTCGATGTCAATACGCACACTCGGCTTAGTCAGGCTGACTGCTACACGAGCTTCGTTGAACCGGTGTTAGAGATCGACGACAGACGTCATTGCTTGGACGTCATAGTCATCACGTTCTGCCGAAAGGCTTGTGACCACCTGTGTCTCCATACACAGTGCCGTGTCATCGTCGTCCTCGTCTTCCTCACGGTGTTCTCCGTACAGCTGCCCGAATCCGTCAGAAGACTCCCCAGATCTGTCATCGTCGTCGGCGAAAGTCCGTTCGTCGTCTCCTGTATCGAGTTCACCTTTTCCCCCCTCCTGCCCTCCTAGCAACCCAGCCAACTCCGTTTCTTCCCCTTCCTCTCCTTTATCCTCTTCTTCCTCCCCTTCCTCCCTTCCCTCCTCCAATTCCTCCCCTGTGTCTCCTTCCTCCACTTCCTTCTCTTTGTCCATCACCCTGCCTTCTTCCCTTGCATGCAATGCAGCCACTTCGCCCGAACCCGTGTCGATTCCCGATGAATGCGCTTCCGGCCCGCTGCACGCATCCCCTCCCGCCTGCACCAATATCCCTGGTTGGCCCCCCTTACCTGAAGATGTTCGGATCCCGGCGAACTTCGCCGACTCCCTGTCGCTGGGCCCTCCACACGCCTTGCCTGAAGAAGTTCGGATCCCGGCGAACTTCGCCGCCTCCCTGTCGCTGGGCCCTCCGCACTCCTTGCCTGGAGAAGTTCGGATCCCGGCGAACTTCGCCGTCTCCCTTTCACCGGGCCCTCCACACGCACCCTCTCGCTCCGACCGAAGTGGTTGGCGATCCCCCGCAGGCGGCGAAGTCCCGTCCCTCACCGCACCGCTGTCTATTTTGGGATGAGGACTCGCCACCCCCGCTCCTGACCAGCTCTGCGCGCCCGTCCTCTCTGTCCGCTCTGCAAGCATTGAAGTTCGGATCCCAGCGGACTTGGACGTTTTGACCGAGCCGGCACGGAGAGCAACCAAGGCCGCCATCACCGAGCAGGCGGATGAACTGGGCACGTCCTCCGACTGTGCCGAGCATTCCGGACCGGGACCGGTAGACTGCTGACGCCCGAGGGCCTCCCCCGCCACCCCGCCGCTGCCTTCCGTTGTCGTGGTGTCGCCCTGAGACCCGCCCTCAGCCTCGTCGCCGTCTTGTTGTCGCCCCGGGACTCGTTTGCCGCCCCCATCCTCGTCGCCCTCGTTCTCCCCACCTTCCGGTCCCCGGGACCCTGTTCTTACATGCGTCCCACTGGGAGGGGGGATTTTCCAGTCCACCCTTCCTTTCGAGGGGCTCGTGTCGAGGTCGTAGTAGTCCTCCGTCAGCTCCAACCAGCACTTGTCCTGAAGTCTGGCGAACAATCGCCCGGCTGTGGAAATGACGGACACGTCGTCGGGCTCGAAAGAGCCATTCTCGACCCTCACTTTCTGGAGGACCGCAATTCTAGCGACGTTGAGGAAGTCAGACTTCGACCCGCGAGGGAGTGGCATCCATCCTCCATCCGGGACAGCGACCGCCACGATCCACTCACCCTTTTGGATCGCCGGCTGGATGACTCCTGGATGCCAAATCATGTCATGGCCCCAGTCCGCCTCCATGGAACGACTTTGAGGCTCAGGCAGGAAGTGAATGTTGGCATTCGTCCAAGACAGATGATCGGGTGGGATGTCAGACCCGGGACGCAGTGAGGGATGGCCGGAGGCCAGAGCTTGCATTCTCTGCAGCAACTTCATCGGGGTAGTGCCAGGCGCCGGTTTCGCCATCGGTGACACGAGGGATGCCGGGCTTGTCGACGGACCTGCCAAGGACGACCTTGTACCGTGCTGTGCGGAATGTTGGTCGTACTGCAGGTCGAGGCTTTCGGTGTCGCTGCCCTCCTCGTCCGCGGTCGCGTCGAACTCGATGCCGGTGGTCTCCTCATCTTCCGTGGAGATCAAGGAGGAGTAACTGCCGAACGTCAGCTCCTCCTTTGACTCCACGAAGTAAAGGGACTGCAATCTCTCGAGGAAGGTCTTTGCGTTCATGCGGGAGGCGCCGTGGTAGTTGTCGAGCAACGTGAACATGTGGTCCTTGCGGCGCACGTACTCGGCGTCGGTGTCTCTCTTCGGCCGCGTTTGCAGGAACAAGAAGTCGTATATCTTGTTGCGCTTCCTCGCACTCAACTTGAACCACATGTCCGTCTCGTTGTTCCACGCGCGAGCCCGAGTCTCGGTGACGACCATGAACTCGCAATTGTGGGCACTCGAATTGACCTCGGTTTTGACGAGATCAATTGTAAATTGCAAGAGCTCGGAGTTCCCTTCCATCGCGATGACGTGCCGTCCTGCCTTCAGTACTTCCCAGACTGACAGCGCGTGTGGCTTCCCGAGGAAGACGACACCCTCCCCCTTCTTGGTGATGGATTCGAGAAGCTGAACGAATTGGGCGGGGTTGCATTCCATGTCCCCGTACACAATGCCCCGACGTGCAGGCGAGGTATGCGACCAGTCGCAAGCGTTGAATGGGATGTCGGACACATCCGTTTGCGTAACCTTCTGTGGTACCCGCACTGCAGCAGCGGCGCCTGCCGGCAGTTTCCCCTCGTAGACGACGGACGTGTTGGCCCGCAAATCGTCGCCTTTGAAGAGTATGTACATCCGGTCGTCTTCCGTGTATAAATTGTTCCCGACGGGGAAGCTTTTTTTTGTTGACTCCTCCTCACCCACTTCCCTTCCAGCAGTTTGACGAAAGAAAGATGGTTCATGCTGGCCAGAAAGGAGAGGTTCTACTGCCGCGGGACAAAAACAACGAGCGTCCAATGCGACGGACACCACGTCTGGAGTTGGGAATTCAGAGTGTCGAACGCTTGCGGTTTTCAAAGCTTTAGGTTCACCGGTTCGCACAGATCGAGGACGAACTTGTGACTCTTTGTGGCAACCACTGCCTCCTTCACCTCCGCACTCCTTATGTCTGCCTCCAAGGGGTCGTTGCCAAATGGTGCGATGGATGTCACGTCGCCCGTGTCATTCCATTTTATGTGCACAATGCCTTCGGCGAGCGCGATCTCTCGACTCTTCAGTCTACTGCCAGTCAACACGGACAGGACCTTATTCCTCCAGTTGACGGACAGCTTCTTGTGACCGGCCAGCTTCTCCGTCGCCTCGATCGATCTGTCGTCGCCGCAGCCCATGTAGGGCGGGCATTCCTTGAACAGCGAGGAGTCAGTGACATATTTCGTGCTCCCGTCCCACAACTCAGCATCCAAACCACGACTCTCAAACTGTCTGAAAATTGCGGACCTTGATTTCAGGAACGGGAACCTCTGGCTCCAATCCGCGTCCTGCCTTTTGTCGTGCTTGAACTGGTAGTAGTTCCACAGACGCACCAGCACCCGGTCGCACTTCACCAAATTCACCACCTCCTGGACGCTCAGCTTTCCGAGCTTCGCCAACGCTGGGAAGACGGCCTGTACCCAAACCACCTCGCAAGCGAGCACCTTCTTCAGGACGCGACACTTCTCGTTGTCTGTCAGCGACTCCATCGTTTTCCAACAATGCGCGTCCGGCTCTGGCACTTGCACGAACCTCTCGCCCTCCTCTTTCTCCTTTTTGCCTTTCTTTGACGGCGGTTCCACAGGGACGTTGTACACGACCTCCTTCCTGCCCAGCTTGTCATTATGGATGTATGCAACCCCAGGCTTCACATTTTTGACTTTCTTCTTCCGCATGATCCACTTTGCGCCGTCGTGTCCGAGCAATCTGCCTGTCTCCCATTTCTCGAAAAACTCGACGGCCAGTTTCCAGACGTTCTCCCCTGCCATCGCCAACGGGAAATAGGAACGCAGGGCAACGCCTTGTTTCCTGATGGCCTCCTCGCCCTGCTGATCTGCGAGAATCCACAAGTTGTTGTGCGGTGTCATGTTGAGTGCGACATTACAGAATTCACGCCACTTCCGGACCTGATCCTGTTTTCCGATGGGGTCCCCATAACAGCACGCGGGCAACCGGCGCGCTTCCACTGCCACCTAATGTCCCTCATTGACAGCTTCAGCTGTCGTGGGGGCGCCTTCAGGTCCTTCTTGTCGTCCTGGGAACTGACAATGAAGTACCCTTCGAAGTCGCCGTCCGAAAAGTAGACCATTCGTGCAGGCCACCGCTCGAAATTGTATTTCCTGGCCACCTCGCTGCCGAGCAGCGACCTCGCTGCAGCCGCGTTGTGCTGCCCACACACCGCGTAGTAGTAGTATTGTCCCGCCAGCTCATCCCTCCAATCCTCCGGTCTCAGACGTTCTGCCCTGGTCCCCGGAGCCGGTTTATCAAGCCCCAGGGGCGCCAGTTTCAGGGTTGGTAAATCGTAAGACTGCGCTTTGTTTTCGAACGCCAACCGCATCGCTTCTTTGATCCCTTCCACGAGCACGGGATCCAGGGACCGCTGGTTGTACAGGTCCTCCCAGTCCCCGAGGTCGACGACCTGCGCAGGGCTAATGTCGAACTCCCGCTTTGTCCGAACGCCGTCTTTGTACTCGAGGAAGTACCCGGCGTCGATGTCGATGGGAGTCCCTATTGTCGGTGGAGAAGACGGTCCAGACTCAGGCTGCTTCTGTCTCGAAGACGGTCGTTTGGCAACCTGCCGGCCCTGGTCCCCCTCGGTCCCCTTGCGTTTCTCCCCCTCAGTCCTGGGGGCCTTGCTCTTTAACTTCTTCGTAGAACCGGCGAACTCGTCTGGATGATCCCCCCTCCTCTTTTGCGGAGCTCCTTGTGAGCCCAGGCCTCCCGCGTCCACCTCCTCCACACCCTGTCCCTCGCTCGCCTCCAAGTCGACCTCTCGGCTCTCGCCACGGTGCAGCTGAGTGGCGGGACCAGAACCCAGATCACCGCCCTCCGCCCCTGCCCCACTTGACTCGCAACCGCTGCACAGCTTCAACGGCAACGACAGCTCCAGGGATGGGTTGACGTCGCAGGGGACGTCTAGAGCGATATTTTTGTCCTCCAACATGTCGAAAAATTCACGCGCCAAAACAAAACCGCCCCCGAGAACGAGTTCTCTGTAGAACGGGGTGTTCACAGCACCCGCTCCGAACCCCTCACACAATTCGAGGTCCAACAACGTCCCTTTCGAATTGGCAACGACGTTGCCCTTGGCGCCATAAACTTTCTGCATATAGAAATGTCGCCGGCCCCCCTTTGCGTCCTCCCACCGCAAGACGGCACCAAGCACTCTACGCCTTCTGCTGTCATCGATGAAGATGACNGCCGGCCCCCCTTTGCGTCCTCCCACCGCAAGACGGCACCAAGCACTCTACGCCTTCTGCTGTCATCGATGAAGATGACAGGACCACATGGCTGCACAGTGGGGTTGGAAGCGTCTCCACAGCACCAGTCGATGAACCATTTCGACCTCGAATGGTTCGACCACCCCTGCGTGGCAGTAGACGACCGCCTCGTGGAATCTTTTCGTGATTCCTTCCCGGAGGTCCCTGTTGGCTCCACCTCGCCCTTGGAAGAAGACATACTGTCTGCGAACGACAACGCAAATCGAACAGCACACCATGAAGTCAATGTCTGTCAAAACACAGGAGAAACAGAACACTCGCTGTCGCACGTCAACGCAGGCTGCAACGCAGCGAAAGCCGCGCACGAAGACACCCGGACACTCAAATCCGGAACGGTGAGAAGGGGTAGTCAGCCGGGATCCGAACTTCAAGCGAGCAGGAGACCAAGAGGCAGATAGAGAAAGAGAAGCAAGTGAAAACTCGCAGTGCGCATGGGATCACGCGCTATTTATGCGGCACACGGGGCACCCCGAAGAACAAAGAAAGACAAATGCACAGTGAAAATCGCGAAGTTCGCTGGGATCCGAACAAAAGGACGGTGCGTGAGATAGAGACGGCGGAAGCAGATTCCGGAAATTTTTCGCAGGAATCAACTGGCGGTCATGTTCGAAGCTCGCGGTCGACGGGGTAGTGTTCCCGACAGTCCAACAGCAGAAGCTCGCCGGGAGCCAAACCAGAACAGAGAGGCAGCCATGCAGCCAGCGTCCCAGAACCGTGCTCGACCAAACGCACTCCGGAACTGTTGTCGGGCGGGTTGTGCAACCCACCTGGAACCACGAAGACTCACGACAAAGCAACGCACCTCCCGAAACGTGAAGTTCGCCGGGATCCGAACTTCAGAACGATGCGACAGGTAGAAACGGCGTCTCGGACACACGATCCGCAAGTCTAAGGTTGTTAAACTCAAACTCGACCCAGGAAGGCCACACCGGAATGAAAGGCTGGTTGAAATGGAGGAGTCCAGGGACCTACGAAATGTTGACATGGCTGTCCCTTTCGAGCTTGGGTCCATCCAGTGCCAAGCTGTGCATAACGCGAGATCGAAAATCGGAGTAGTTCGGATTAGGGCGGACTTTGGCTGTTGCCGGAATCCACGAGGGATCCGGAAGACCACCGTCTGAGGCAATAGACAGGCGACTCGTGAAGTTCGCCGGGATCCGAACTTCAGGAGGACGCGAGAAAGAGAGACAGAGAAAAACATCCAAAGGTGCATGAGGAAAAACCCCAGGGTCCCACAGCCGACCGCAGGTTTCGATGGCAGCAGTCATCGAGTCCAGGCGTAATTGGTAGCAGGACCGTTTCCGACTCCGCTCAGCACTCGAAGCTCGGAGGCCGGCAGGACGCACAGGCCAAACCGCGAAGTTCGTCGGGATCCGAACTTCAAGAGGGCGCGACAAGGAAAGAGACGGCGTGCACTACCAACTGCTGCCTCCCGCGCCTTTCTCCACTGTTAAAACTCTGCTATGTTCGGCAGCACACAAGCCTCTCACTCGTCTCCCTTCTTTTCGCTTAAGCAGGATGTCCAACCACACGTCCAGATCTTGTGACAATCGCGGTTCCTCGGGGACGAGGTCGCGAACCGTAACCATACAAAGCATTCATTGACGATCCGTAAACGCGGACCAGCGGATCGTCGACCGTTGCAGTTTTCAAAAAGACGAACATGTATTTCATCCTAACAAACACTCCCGGTCGTGCTAAGGAGTTCCCTATACAGTCCCGTATGGCGGACACTTTCTCCTCGACCTCCCTAAGCAACGAAAAGTTTTGGACCGGCCCTGCTATAACCAAATCTCGCCACCCGTCTACACGTTCAGGCCCGGGCGTCGGCACGAATTTAGACCCCTCGATTGCCACCTCGTTGCGTGATACAAGCACAACTACATCGACGAGTTTCCAGCTCTTGTTCGACGCAGCGACACATAGAACTCTGGCGAAATCAGACCCGGACACAATCAATCGCACACAACATTATGACACAACTTGTGGAGAATTCCCAGGGCACCGGAGCGGGTACTGGCCCAGGAACGACCAGTGACGAGCGCAGTCCAGCAACTCTTGTTTCCGCGAGCCTCCCCAAGTTCGTGGCGACGAGCTGACGTAGTGGCATTCGAGGCGGCTGAAATGGCGGCTAATGCAGCCCGGCGCTCTGTGCATGTGGTTCAGGAACTCGTGTCCGAGGACAGCGTCAGACAGCGGGATGAGGTTCCCGAACTCCAACATGTTGGCGAATTTGTACTGGCTTGCCCAAGGGCAGCGACTCTCCATCGTGGCCCAATTCCAATCGCACCAATCGTCAATATGCGCGTCCCTGCATGGGACGACGGTCATCCAGGGGTCCTAGTCGAAGTCCTCTGCGGTCGCTCCGTGGATCGTAGTCACACCGTTGAAATGCCGCACTGATCTCTCGCGCAAGGAGGAAACGGTTCTGCCAAGTGAATGTGCGTTTCGGGACTCATGGTTTGTGGTGTCGAGAAGATCGACTCAAAGATTCGTGGTGTCGAGAAGGTCCCATCCATTACGCGCCCTACACACCACGCGCACATACCAAACGACACACACGGGGACGCTGACACTTGTAAACATAGTTGGCGAGCAATCAAACGACATAGGTCCCTCGTTGTGGTTGTGCACTAGGGTTGGAACGCGAGTTGGGTTTTACGAAAGGCAAGAACCTGAAGCTCGCTGGGATCCGAACTTGGCGGAATGCCGTGGGAGAGACACAGCTGTCTATCAAACTCGCCTTTCCATTCTTTCCTAAAGTTCGGATTCCGGCGGACTTCACATTTTCACAGGTCCATTGCTGTGGTTGTGAACTGGGGTTGCAACTCGAGTTGGGTTTTACGAAAGGCAAGAGCCTGAAGTTCGCCGGGATCCGTACTTCGCGAAATGTCGTGGGAGAGAAACAGTTGTCTGTCAAACTCGCCTTTCCATTCTTTCTTGAAGTTCGGATCCCGACGTACTTCACATTTTGACAGGTCCAGTGCTGTTGTTGTGCACTGGGGTTGCAACTCGAGTTGGGTTTCACGAAAGGCGAAAACCTGAAGTTCGCCGGGATCCGTACTTGGCGAAATGCCGTGGGAAAGAAACAGCTGTCTGTCAAACTCGCCTTTCCATTCTTTCTTGAAGTTCGGATTCCAGCGGACTTCACATTTTCACAGGTCCACTGCTGTGGTTGTGCACTGGGGTGGCAAGTCGAGTTGGGTCTTACGAAAGGCAAGAACCTGAAGTTCGTCGGGAGCCGTACTTGGCGAAATGCGGTGGGAGAGAAACAACTGTCTATCAAACTTGCCTTCCCCTCTTTCTTGAAGTTCGGATTCCAGCGGACTTCACATTTTCACAGGTCCACCGCTGTGGTTGCCCGCTGGGGTTGCAGCGCGTGTTGGGTCTTGCGGAAGGCGTGAACCGGAGGTCCACCGGGATCCGAGGTTGGCGAAATTACGTGGGAGAGACACAAATGTCTATCAAACTCGCCTTCCCGTGTTTTCTTGAAGTTCGGATCCCGGCGGACTTCACATTTTCACAGGTCCCCCGTTGTCGTGTGGTGGCTGCAAAAAGTTCGTCGTTGGATGACAGACCAGGTTCGATGACCGACGAGGTTTGCCGTCCAGTGGCGTTCGATGTCCGCCAACATTTCGATGCCCGCCGAGCCAGTGCTGTTGTTGTGCACTGGGGTTGCAACTCGAGTTGGGTTTTACGAAAGGCGAGAACCTGAAGCTCGTCGTGATCCGTACTTGGCGAAATGCCGTGGGAAAGAAACAACTGTTTATCAAACTCGCCTTTCCATTCTTTCTTGAAGTTCAGATTTCAGCGGACTTCACATTTTCACAGGTCCACTGCTGTGGTTGTGCACTGGGGTGGCAACTCGAGTTGTGTTTTACGAAAGGCAAGAACCTGAAGTTCGCCGGGATCCGTACTTGGCGAAATGCGGTGGGAGAGAAACAGTTGTCTATCAAACTCGCCTTCCCCTCTTTCTTGAAGTTCGGAGTCCAGCGGACTTCACATTTTCACAGGTCCACAGCTGTGGTTGCCCGCTGGGGTTGCAGCGTGTGTTGGGTCTTGCGAAGGCGTGAACCGGAGGTCCACCGGGATCCGAGCTTGGCGAAATTACATGGGAGAGACACAGATGTCTATCAAACTCACCTTCCCGTGCTTTCTTGAAGTTCGGATCCCGGCGGACTTCACATTTTCACAGGTCCCCCGCTGTCGTGTGGTGGCTGCAAAAAGTTCGTCGTTGGATGACCAACAAGGTTCGATGACCGACGAGGTTTGCCGTCCAGTGGCGTTCGATGTCCGCCAACATTTCGATGCCCGCCGATATTTGATGGGGCGCCAGGTTCGATGCCAAACAAGGTTCGATGGCCGACAAGGTTCGATGGCCAGCAACGTTCGATGTGCAACAACGTCGTCACAAACAGTCTACTGTTCGCTCGGGGTACATCAACGAGTGTGATGGATTGGTCGCTCGCCGCCAGGTTGGTCATTCGCGCACGGTGCCACGTGTGTTTTGTTATTACATTTGATACTGGCGAAAAACACACACGCGGTGACAACGATGAGACAACACACCCGATCAATCGACCGATTGCGAGCTCTCTGTTCGTGTTCGGCCATTGATCGACTGGGTGCGTCTGCTGTCCCGACAATGTCACCTCCTGCTTTGATTGATCATCCATTCGGCAGATCAGCGGCGGTATCGTGATCAATCGTGATGGTCCTGTTCATCACTCACGTGCGGTATGGCCGATGTCACCACTCAGGTGTGGATGATTGATCTGATGAGTGGAGAAAGATCCGATCTGCCGCGCGGTTATTATGTTTCGTGACCGGTCGCCTCATGCTCGATCGAAGCTTTCATCATGCATCAGTTACTCAGCTCATGAGAACTGCCCAATGAACGGCCGATCGAAACACGCGGTGA